GACTGGAAACTGAGCTTTTTGGTGTTGGCAACCTTGAGGGCCGCCAGCTTGTCTTCTCTGACATCCTTGCAGTCACTTGGACCAATGACAGAGCGATGTCGGGGCCACAACGAGTGGATGACTTCTTCCATTCCTGCACTCGACCAGGGATTTGATTCAGTCGAGTCATCAGAGACTCGAGATCTGGTGAGAGTTCCGCATGAGGCCAGAGTTCAACATCAATCTGCATCATTGCAGCCTTCAGTCGAGCGAGATAATCCACAGCACTGTCCAAGCGAGACTCCAACCGCAGCACGTTCATTGCAACATCGTCCTTGACAGAAGAGTTGATGGGGTCAAGACCCGTCTCGACCCGCCTAGTTCAAAGCTCTGCATAGTTGGAAAAGCAGTGAGTCGACAGTTTAACAAGACATGTCAGTCAACATCAACAAATCAGTCGAACAAGAGGAAATACCTTCAAGCTTCAAGACCAACTTCGCAGCAAGCTGCCCCAGATAAGACTCCAGCTTGCCCTTCTTGGCATTGAGATTCCCAACTTCGTCAGTCAATCTTTCCTTGTCCTTCTTCAGTCGCACAACCTCCTGGTTGGCTTCAGAAACGGCGGTCTTCAACTTGGATTTCTCCTCTTCCAACTTGCTGACTGAGGCCAACTTCTTGTCCGCAAGTGCTGTTTTCTCTCACGCCTCCTTTTGGGCCACGACAAGATCCTGATCCTTCTTCTCCAGAGCCTGCTTCATTTTCTCTAAAGAAATAACATTCTTCAGATGAGCTTGAAGTTGACGGTTTTCCCTACGCACATATGTTCGAGTGGAATCACTCGGTTCAAAGAGACTGAAAAAAGAGAGAGAATCATAAGTTGGACGGTTGACGAGTGGTTACCTCCCATGATAGCTACTTCGTCCTGGGCCTTCTTGAGGTTCTTCTTGGCCAGTTCCAGATCAAGGTTGAGGCTGATCTGCTTCTTATCCAGTTCAGAAAGTTGAGCTCGAAGATCACAAGACTTCTGCAGTCAGCAAATAAGATATGTTAGTCGACAGAAACAAAAGTCAATCACAGTGGAAATTGCTCTAAGACTACCACTGAATCAAACATTCAACAGTAGTCTCGGGGACTACACCCAGTGGGTGCACTTGGCGTGGCCCCACTGGTCCGGTTTTACACTCGGCATGGTCTGCCTAGCATGAGTAAAAAAAAGAGATTCTCAGACCCCAGCCGACTACCAGCAGTCAACCGCGGTCTCGGGGACTACACCCAGTGGGTGCACTCTTTGTGCCCCCACTGGTTCAGAAAAATACTCGACTCAACCTAGTCGACTCAAGTGGAAGAACTATTCAGTTCTAAGACCGACCCTAGTGGGTGATTGGGTGCGAAAAACAGACCCATGATAGATGCATATAATAGGTTCCAAAATGCTCATCCAAGGACACCATATGGACAGGGAAGCAACAGTTGCAACTATCACTACTCAAGAGACCAGTCGGAAATCAACTAACCTTGACGTTGGCTTGCAGAGCGGTGCTGACATTGTAAGCAACCTGACTGGCCTCATGCACCAGCTTCATCTGCTCCATCACGAGGTTTACCTGGAGAAGGGCCTCCCTGGCGGCACTCGGCAGGTCGTCTGGAGTCTGGTATGCAGCGAAGAGCGATGGTGGCAGTACAGTCGGTTCACAGGGTCGGATGCATGGAGTTGTACTGGAGCAGCAGAGGCCTGAGCAGTCAACCCCGATGGACGGTTAGTCGACAGTGGATTGGCAAAGGTGACATTGGTCCGAGCCGGATCTCCGGATCGCTGGACCACTGTCTCAAGCACCGATGTCGCTTGAGGCTCCTGACCCTCGGTCGGTTTCTCGCTTGAGGCCCTGCCCCTCCTTCTTCTCTCTCTTGTAGGCGCTTCTTCTTCATCATCCGAAAGCTCAATAACGTCCCGCGGAGCTGCAACAAAAAGCAATCTTAAGAGTTCAATCTACCAACAACCCAGTCGGCAGAATAAATTCAAGACAATCTAGTCGGCAGAATAAATTCAAGACAATCTAGTCGGCAGAATAAATTCAAGACAATCCAGTCGGCAGAATAAATTCAAGTTGGAAAGAGCGTACCAGCTTTGGAAGTGGCTGAGTCATCGGCCTCCTCATCACCTGGAGCCTTGTCAACATCCATATTAGTCACATAAGTTACAGCACTGAAAAAGTTCATAACCCACTCGGTTAGAGCAGAAGTATGAGTTGGTAGAAGAAAACGCATAAAGATAGGGCACTCACCCAGAGGCAACAGGAACGTCCATATTGATCTTGGGAAAGGTCTTCCGAGCCTTCGAAGGGGCGAACTTGGGTTGCTTGGCTACCTTCTCCGTCGGCTCTGGAGTCGAAGTCTGATTGCGCTTCTGTGCTTGAGCACTCGGAGCCACGGTCTTGCCACGCCCGCCAGCCGGATCTTGGAGTTGCTTGGATCGACGCTCTGAGCGAGGTGGTGAGTCGACTACCTCTTCGTCATCCGACTCATCACTGTCTTCCTCGTCGTCATCTTCTAGAGATTGCTAGTCACCGCTCTCTTCTGCACTGTCCTCTCCATCCTGGTCTTGCTCCAGGGCTTGTTCACCATTGGGCATCAAGTACATCTCAGTATAAACCTACAAGACAAGAAGTCAAACAAATATCAGTCATATTCAGAGACGCTTTCAAGACAGATTGAAGTACATTCAGTAGCGAAGTTCAGACCTTGTCTGGCTGGTTGTTGGCGCTGAATGGGTCGACTCTCCTGGCTCCCCTGGGGTTGTCCTTGTTTCCTGTAATGCCCTTTATCCACAGGGCCACCATCTCCTCCGTAACCTCCTCTGGATGAACCCGAGCGATGTCGTTGGATCCCGAGTACATCCACATCGAGTGGTCACGAGCTTGGAGCGGCTGGATGCGTCGACTGAGAAACACCTCCAACAAGTCCATGCCAGTCACACCCTGATGGATCAGGTGGACCACTCTCTCGACCAACATCTTCGTTTCCACCCTCTCTGCAGCGGTCACTTTTAGTGAAGAAGGTTGCTGGGCGCGATCTAAAGAGAAAGGGGGAAGACCGGTCGACTGACCAGGAGTCGCAATATCCTGGTAGTAGAACTAGGTCGACTGCCAGCCCCTGACCGACTCGGGAAGTGTCATGGAAGGGAAAGCGCTCCTCTTACTCTTCTGGATCCCCAAGCCCCCGCACATTTGGATCACGTGCGTCCTCTCGTCACTCGAATCGCTTTCTTCATCGACTGGGAGCGGATTGTGAAGATGTACGTGCTTGAAAAGACCCCAGTGCGGTCGCTAACCCAAGAAGTTTTCACACATGGACACAAACGCGGCGAGATACGTAATGGTGTTGGGAGAAAAGTGATGGAGCTGAGCTCCGAAAGAGTTCAAGAAGCCCCGAAAAAAGGATGCGGAGGAAGGGAGAAACCATGGTCGACGTGGGTAGCAAGGAGGACGCACTCACCCGGCCGCGGCTGGGGCTCCATCTCCCCCTTCGACAGCCTCGTAGATCCGGCGACAATCAAACCGGAGTCAGCCAGCTCCTCCAAATCCTCTGACCGGAGTGAAGATCGGATCCAATCGGCCTGGATCCAACCCGGTGGCAGCGCGGACCTTGATGACGACCCCCGATTCGTCTTCTTGCCTTTCGTCGCTCCCGTCGCCTTCTTCGCGCGCTCCAGCGCCGCCGTCTTGTCCTTCACCATGGTGGTGGGGCGGCGGCGTCGAGGGCGGAGGAGAAAGATGCAGTGGAGAAGCAGAGAAGGAAGAGTGAGAATGGACGCGCACAGTGCAGAGGCCTCGGCCCCGCCGCCTTTTAAGGATCCACTTCCGAGTGGCTGACGCGTGGGCCTGGGCAATCCTGTCAAATCCCGCAATAGTCGCGCGCTGGGTACGTGGCGGAAAAGGTGGCGTGGAAATCAAGGCGCTCCTGTCTGTCCATCCCGCTTACTACGGCGTGCTCCGCCTCGCGCGCTTCCCCAAAATTTTGAATCCCGCGAGATCCGGGATACGCCTTAACCAATCGCGCCAAAGATTTCACGTCAAAGTAACACTAGACGAGTGCCAGTATAAATCCACTCGACAACTTCTGAATCGATCAAGACGACTGAAACGAAGCCGAAGTTCCAACATGGGCCTCCAATTCAACATGGGTACTTGTGAAGCACAAGAGTCAAGGCAAGACTAACTTCAACCTTCTTTTCACTCGGACCTCAATCCATTCGGGGGCTAATGATGATGATATAAACCTAGGGTAGGGTCACAGGCCTGACCAGTACGCCCTATCCAAGGTCACTACCCTAGAAGCAAAGACAACCAAGATACAACAGGGAGTATCAATTGAAGGCGTCGAGTGCAATCCACTCGACCGGTCATATCACTTGGGTACCCCTCCCTCCTGATATCACTTGACCATATGAGAAACCACTCGACCTACAGAAGACCAGGAGTTATTCAGGACAACAACGGTCAAGCGTTCACTCCGTAGCCTTAAAGGTCAATAATAGCACTTTATAGCTGGCGTTATCAGTAACGCCCTATCTTTATGTACATTGAACCCCTGTAACGGAGGTGGGCTGGGTCCTGACGCACTCTATATAAGCCACCCCCTCCTCTGGGACAAGGGTTCGCACCCCCTGTAACACACACTCCCATATTTCAATCGACCGCCTCAGGGCATCGAGACGTAGGGCTTTTTACCTTCTCCGAAGGGGCCTGAACTCGTAAACACTTGCGTACAATCTCACCGTAGCTAGGACCTTGCCTTCTCATACATACCCCTATACTTACTGTCAAACTTAGAACCACGACAGTGTCCTCCTTCATACCAAGCAGAATGCCACCCGAGTGGCCAGTCGCTAGAAGGCATTGCCACGCAAACGAGTGGCGAGTCGGCCACTGAAGCTCCTGAAGGGAGAAATCCTGTTTAATCGTCTCCTTCAACCCACAATAAACTAACGCCATCGGCCCAAATGGCTGAACCCCTGGCCGTCTGTCACCCTCCCCAGACGGCCAGGTGCTGGATGAATGAGGTGCGCGATCTGTCTTACAACATGGAGGATTACATCAACAGCCTATACGTGCAGGCTGGAGACCCCTCCCTCATTGCCGATAACATCAAGATCTACAGATCCCACCACAAATGGCTAAGTCATGTCAGGGTACCAAAGAAGCTTACGTGGGATGAGCAGATTGTGGGATCAGTATCAGAATTCAGGATATATGTTGGCGACGCGATGAAACGACACAGGATGTATGGTCTAAATTATTTTAGCACCTTGAGGCGTACACTTGTGCCCGTTGGCCATATGCTTCAAACGCCAACACCGTATGAAGTAACATCTGACATAGTAATCAATGACCGCATGAATGAGTTTATTAACTCACTGACTAACGATGGGGCCGATCAGCAGCAGCTCAAGGTGGTATCTGTTCTGGGATCTGCTTGTCTTGGTAAAACTACATTTGTTAGAGTGTTGTACAAAAGGATTGGGTTGCAATTTGATTGCCGAGCTTTCATTCGAGTGTCCAAAAACCCTGATATGAAGAAAATTTTCTGGGAGATGCTCTTGCAATTGGAGCGGCAGCAGTGCCCACCACAATATTGTAAGGAGGTTGATCTCATTAACATGATAAAAAATTATCTACAAGACAAAAGGTACTACTGTTTTTCTTCATCTACAAATATACTAAATCCCCTGTGCCCTAAAGCCTAATATGATTTAAGTACTGGTATGCAGGTATTTAATTATTATTGATGATCTGTGGTCTGCATCAGTATGGGATATTATCAATCGTGCTCTTCCAAAGGGTAGTCATGGAAGCAGAATAATAACCACTACACAGATAGAGGATGTTGCTTTCAGATGTTGTCGTTATCAGTCAGAGCTTGTTTTTGAGATGAAACCCCTAGATGATGATCACTCAAGAAAGCTATTCTTTAACAAACTGTTTGGCTCTGAAAGTGATTGCCCTGAACAGTACAAAGAGATTTTAAATGAAATTGTTGAAATATGTGGTGGTTTGCCACTTGCAACAGTCAGCATAGCTAGTCTTTTAGCAAGCCAGCCTGCCCTGACAATTGATCTATTGACTTACATCCGTCAGTCATTGAGCTCTCTTTTCTCGGGGAATCCTACCTCAGAAAGAATGAGACAAGCACTAAAACTCAGTTTCCACAATCTTCCTCAATGCTTGAAGACATGTTTGCTTTATCTTTGTATGTATCAAGAGGGCTACACATTCTACAAGGATGATTTGGTGAAGCAATGGATGGCTGAAGGCTTCATCGATTCAACAGAAGGGCAAGATGTGGAGAAAATTGCAGAGAGCTATCTCAATCAACTTACCAGTAGAAGATTCATCCAGCCTATACGTATCAACTTCAACAATGAGGTGGTGTCATGTGCAGTTCATGGTGTTGTGCATGATATTATCGTACAGAAGTCCGCAGAAGAGAATTTTGTTGTTGCAATAGACTGCAATGAAGAGAATGTAGATCTTTATCACAAGGCCCATCGACTCACTCTCTTTGGCAATCCAAGATATGCCAAGACACCAACAAGAAGCATCATAGAGTCACAAGTTCGATCACTCGCTTTTTTTGGATTATTTGAGTCTATGCCTAGTATTACAGAATTCAAGTTTCTTCGTGTTCTAAACCTTCACATATCTGGTTATGGTGGCTCCAAAGAACTCGGCCATGACGACAACCCTGTAGACCTCAGTGTGATTTCAGAACTGTCTCGCTTGAGATATTTGAAGATTGCTTCTAATCTCTGTATAAAACTGCCAGACTATATGGGAGGGCTGCATTGTTTGGAGACACTGGATATTATGGATGCAGTACTCAAACTTGGAATCGGTGTCTGTCTCCCGTACTTGTTGCACTTGTATCTCGGACTCTGTCATGAGAGAAATGTGCAGAATTGGAATGACGAGATGTCCGAACTTGAAAATATGAAAGACCTGCAGGATCTTCGTTTTACCTTTTCTTCTAGGCAGTCTTCAACTCAGGAAAAAAGCATGTTAATTTTGCGGGATTTTATCAGCGGACATGACAACCTGAAAACAATAATAGTTGCTTGTCACTCCTTAGATAAGGTGACTGATGGCCCTTCAGATGCAACCTTTTCATGGGATAACATGGCACCTCCCCCACTCCTCCAGAGATTTGAGTTTTCGCCGCAAAGAGGCTGCATATTCTCACGAATACCTCCGTGGGTTGAGAAACACAGCAACCTAAGAATTTTGAAGATTGCAGTCAAGGAACTTCAGATGATTTGTGTTGGTATTCTCAGAGGACTGCCTGCTCTCACTTCTTTGTCATTGCATGCGGGGACAATGCCCATTGTCAAGTTCATATTTGATAAGTCCGGGTTCTCAGTTCTCAAGTACTTCAGGTTGATGCTCGTGAAAGGTTTAGCTTGGCTAAGATTTGAGGAGGATGCAATGCCTAGTCTATTGAAGCTCAAGCTAGTTTTCAATGTTATCCCGCAAATCGACAAATATGAACATGGTATTATCAGCATTGACCATATGTCAAGCATTAGAGAGATTTGTGTGAAATTTGGGGGTGCAGCTACTGGTCGAGAACATGCCTTGGTTAGTAATCATCAGAGCAATCCTATAATCAATAGGCAATCGACGGTTTATAATTCCTTCGATGACAAGAGCACAAACCAGAAACTACAGACATATGAGATTCTCAAGGGAGAACGAGATGAGATCGTGGAGAAAGAAAGAGATGACCATGGTAAGGAATCGAAGAGCCCAGTTGATCAAAGGTACTACTGATGTTCTTTGTAAAACAAGGAAATGTGATCTCCTTTACTTCGACTTTGATTTTTTAATTAACCTGATTTAATTCTTATGTTCTAACCGAGCTAAGTATTTGTTGCAATCAGGATTTTAAGGTCACCCGTGTCCTCTTCCCGACCACATGTCCCAGGTATATATTTTCTTTCAATTGGCGTATTTTCCTTTAGAAAATGGAAGCTTTATTACTCTTTGCATCTACACCTATGAATGATGCATATAAAGTTGGTGCCAACAGTGATGTTTCAGTGTTCAGTTAATAGTATTACTTCTTCCACATGGTGAGATTTGGAGGCTCCTCAGGATAAACTGGGCTGCTCATCCTAATAATTGATAAAAATCTTGTCCGAAACTTACAATCCACAATTCAAGACTTGGCCTTGGTTGTCCATTATGATTTTGGTCACGTTGTCTTGCATCAACTTCAATAATATTATATAGCCATGTGCATCCGAGAATGGGAGATTCAGGGAGGTTCAACATTGCTTTTCAGGGATAGCCCCACATCGCATATATACAAGCTAAAAGCCACAATTGTGTGATGAAAGCCATATTACAAACGAGCGAGTTTCACCTAGCACATCGCACATGTTGGCACTGGTCCCATCGTCGACGCAGCGATCCGCTGATTACTTTCGCGCGGAACGACGAACAACGAACGACAAACTAGGTCGGAGAAACGCAGGTAGCAAGGCTAGCTTACTCCGGCGACTTGCACACGTACGTATTCTATAAGAAGGCAAGCAAGGAGCTGGATCGACCTAGCTAGCTATATCACGGGAGTAGCACACGCAGCGATATTATGGCAATAGGTGTGTGTCGCACCTGTTTGATTATTGCTTTCGATCTGGTTTGATTACAAGAGTTAGGTTGCATATATATCCTACTATCAGCTAGCCTATACATGTCCTAGTCGATGATTCAATCCTGGTCCGAGCCGTCCCTGGAGACCGTATGTAATTCGAACAGGACACGGGCTTGTCTAAATGGGCCTGTGCATGACCATATAGCATAAAATTCAAGCCAAACTGTGTTAAAGACCTGTTCTGTAAAAACAAAATTCTAGTGGCGTAGTGTTAAAGACCCGTCCTGTAAAACAAGATTTATGTGTTCATACAGTAGTGACTAGACGATCAAATGCATTTTTCATTTCGGTATCTTAGTAATTCACAGCATCAAATGCATTGGTAAATTTGCAGAACACAAGAAAAAGTACTACATACCATTTAATACCCATGGTTGTTAACTCAGCGCGTCACATTTGCTAATTATGTATGTATATGCGCAGGGATGTCTGCGTCGGAGAGGAGCATGAGCTCCGCCACCACCACAGGGAAACTCTCGATGGTCAGCACCAGCACCTTCATGGCGTCGACGGTCAGCGGCGGCAGCACCGACGACGGCTGCGTGGAGGACGGCCACATCCTCGAGTCCCCGAACCTCAGGATCTTCACCTTCGCCGAGCTCAGGGTCGCCTGCAAGAACTTCAAGCCCGAGACAGTGCTCGGCGAGGGCGGGTTTGGGAAGGTCTACAAGGGGTGGATTGACGTGAACCCGGCCAAAGGAAGCGTCACCATGGCCGTCGCCGTCAAAAAGCTCAACCCCGAGAGCGAGAGCGTGCAGGAAATGGAGCAATGGCAGGTGATTGTGATCCTGAGGAATTGGTTGTCTTTATATTTGTTTTCTACTTCGACGAATCTCCGTGATACAATTTAAAAAAAATGGTGCTTTGTGTTCTTAGGCAAATTTCAGTTTTCCTACAATCATTAAAAGTTAGTGATACTGTTGCCTTTTAGGTTTGCTTAAGTTGCAGTTGCCACATTTGCATGCTTGTGGCCAAGTGGAGAATGCTGGACCTTTGCATTATTTACCATGGCCACAGTACTCTGGTTGCTTATTTTGTGTGTATACTCATATACTATTATCTCACCAGTCACTGAAAATTATTATATTTATGGCCTTCTTGGCAAGTACTGTTACTAATTATTGGCAAATACTAGGATTTATGGCCTTCCGGGTTCTCAGTTCTCAAGTACCACTCTCTTATGACTTTTTGTGCATATTCGAATACTCTGCCCTCACTAGTTATTGGACATTTCATATTTATTCTATTCTTGACAAATACTAGTACTGCTTGTTGGCAGACAGTAGGAATTTGTCTCGTAGCTGTTGTTAATGTTGGAAGTAGTGCCATTTTCTAAAAAAAAATTATGCATTTCTCTAAAAAGGAATTGTGTCCTTTTGATGCAGTCTGAAGTGAATTTCCTTGGGAGAATTTCACACCCCAACCTCGTCAAACTGTTGGGCTACTGCATGGAGGACAACGAGCTACTACTCGTGTACGAGTTCATGGCGAAGGGGAACTTGGAGAACCACCTCTTCAGAAGTGAGTCTTTCGGCAGCAGATGACCTTTTCCAAATGATAAATATCTGAAACAGTTCTCCTTTTGTCAAACTGCTTTTTCTCTTTCTGCCGACTTGGCCCGCAAAGTAGCATGCCTTGCAGATGCTGGTGAAACTGCGACATCGCTTTCATAGCATGTTATATAGTATCAAGCACCATAGTGACATAGTCCATAGTGCTATACAATTAACGACTAGCAATTTTCAAGGGCACGAGCGTCGACTAAATTGTCTTAACCTAAGCCAAATTCTTGCTGCTGTTGCTGCCTACCATCATTCTTGCCAGGTCAATTTGCAATAGAGGGTCAAAAGTAGGACTCAATTTTTTGTTTTTGTTTACCAGGTCTACTTTTTTGCTTAGCTGTCAAATATTATTTGTGATCAAATTTCCCATTTAGCTCGGTTTTGGTACTAATTCATCAACATCATCAGGAGGGGCCATCTATATATGAGCCACTGCCTTGGAGCCTCAGGCTGAAGATTCTCATCGGTGCAGCTCGTGGCCTCGCCTTCCTTCATTCGTTCGAAAGGCAGATTATCTACCGGGACTTCAAGGCGTCCAATATCCTATTAGATTCAGTATGTATTATTGATGAATATCCTATGAATCAATAAAAACTTCTGTACCTGAATAATAACCTGATCAAGCCTTCAACCATGTCATGTTCAGCATTTGAACCCGAAGCTGTCAGACTTTGGATTGGTCAAGCATGGCCCAGATGATGGGGAGTGTCATGTGACAACACGAGTCATGGGCACATATGGGTACGCCGCTCCGGAGTATGTTTCAACCGGTATGTTTTTCATTAAACTCCTCATGCTAGCAGTCACATTACAAACTAACAATGTGCATCATCTATTCCTACCACTGACAAACACTGATCATCTTCCATGCTAGGCCACCTGTACGTGAAGAGCGATGTGTACGGCTTCGGCGTCGTGCTGCTCGAGATGCTCTGCGGCTTGAGGGCACTGGACCCGAGCCGCCCGAGTGAGCAGCTCAACCTGGTGAATTGGGCGAAGCCATTCCTGTCGGACCGTAGGAGGCTGACCCAGCTGATGGATGGCCGGCTCAATGGGCAGTACCATGCCAGAGGGGCCTTCCGCGCCGCTCAGCTTACTCTCAAGTGCCTGGCTGGCGAACCCAAGAGACGTCCGTCCATGAAGGAGGTCGTCGAGGCGCTCGAGCAGATCGAGGCGATGAAGAGCAAGTCCAGGTCTAGGTTGACGAGCTTCTTCAACAATAATGTCTTTAGAAAAGGAACGACGCTCAATCACCGTCGTTGCTGTATATAACCTCCCAAGGCCAAAATTTAGGTTTACACCTTGAAGAACCAGTCCGAACATATTCGAGCAATATCTCCAACAAGGTAACGCTATAGAAATATCGCCATTGCCAGGTATAATCAACACATGTCATACCTAGGATTTCACCCTGGAACTCGAGACCGGGTGTTCGAGTAGCACCACCATAGCTGTCACTTATATGTTGTCACCACCACATTTCCGCAAACTCTACATGTGATGCGCACCACCGCCACTGCACAACAACCCCTCGTTGATGTAAACCATCGCAATCTGTAGCTAGTCGGCTGCCACACGTCAGAGTGGTTGCAATTAGGACCAACATCGGTGTCCGAAAATACTACCGCCAACTACCACCTCGTCGAAAAGATCCCTACCCAGGACCATCCAGCCAGGGGCCGACAAGGTTGCAGCCGAAGCAGGATGCCCAGCCTGTGAAGTACACCTAGACCATGAAGCCTAGCCCCACAGTGCAGCGTGAGCCCAACGCCAGCTACCACATCCAGTGGTGATTCTATGTACAACATGTGGGGTCAGTTGATCATCACAAGAAAAACAAGTTTTGACCCCACAACTTAGAGAAACATCCTGAAATTATTGCATAATTACTATAGAATGTGAAGAAAATAATCCTAAAAGTTAGCAATGACCCCACAGGTTCTTCCGGCTGGCTACGCCGTTGACCACACCCGTCCTCGCTACTATCCAACACAGCTCCATATGCCATGGAGGAATGTCACATCTGCCTGGGTTGGATCAACTACACCACGCCATATCCGTCCTCTAAAGCTATCAGGAAGACCCATGTCGTTGTAACCACCAAACTGGGGCCATCGCACTACCGGAATCGACCCCTATGCCGACGGCCTAGCCCTGATTCCCGTCAAGATAGGCCTATGCCGGCGGCCCCCGTCGGCATAGAGCCATCGACAACATATGTGTCGGCGTACCCTGGAGGCCATCGGCATAGAAAGGTTGTCGGCATAGATGTTATCCCGACGGAGTCCGTACATCTATGCCGACGGACTCGGCCGTCGGCAACGTGCACCGCCTAACGGTGGCTGTCGGCGCGCCGTCAAATGCTGCCCAACTAGGAGGTGCCACATGGCATACGTATGCCACGTGGCGCTCCTGGTAGTGCCGTCGGCATAGCCCTGCCCCAGGAGCTACCAGTGGGCACCATGTGGCACCTATGCCGACGGCTAGGCCGTCGGCGTAGTTTAAATCTATGTCGACGGCCTAGCCGTCAGCATAGGTTCCACGTCGCTCCCACTGGTAGCTCGCGCCGGCCCTATGCCGACGGTCTTGCCGTCGGCATAGTTTGTGCCTGATTTTTTTTCTTTTTTCTGTTTGTTTTCAGTTCAATTCAATTCAAATATACATCACATAACAGCAGATATGTATGATGCAAATGGACATACAGAACACGTATAAGTATCATCCGACACCATCACAACAATATAGGAATCATCACAAAACATAAGGATCATCGCAAAACATAAGCATCATCACAAACAACAATAGCATATAAAGAAGCGCACAAGTCATGTAAAGGACCATAATAGACCACAAGTGTATCATCACCACCACCGTCACCCAAAGGCTTAAGCGCCAGGATGTCGAGCACCGCCAAGTTTGTCACCGCCTAGTTCGTCAAAGCCGAGGTCGCAACTGCTACCCCCAGCGCTACCACCAAGACCGCCACCACCTTGGTGTTTCGGAATGACCAGGCTCCGTGAGTCGGGAGTGATGCCAACACCGGAACCACCACCAACGGTAGATCCACTAGTACCCTGGATGTTTGAAAAGACAAGTTAAGGGGATATAAGATTGTGTTGAATAAACGGTAAGCAACACTGTTGAATAGTTTTGGGATGTACTAACTGGCGTAGTCTCTGGTTGCTGTGCCAGAAAGTCTAAGCAGCACTGGAGCCGGTCCAAGTGGTGGTGGTTCCATTTGATGAACCGTGCCGGCCGCCATGCACTCAACAACGCGCTAGATCATGCGAGTGCTGTGCTCCTGCGCTGCCGCAACTCTCGTGTGCCACGCCATGGAATCCTGGAGTGTGTAGTCCATGTAGGCCTATAGTATGACATGGTGGAACTCATAGAACATCTCAATGCAGAAAATAAAGTGAGCAATGAAGATAAGAGGGAAAATATTTATAGTGTGCCGCTCGGCTAGGAGGGAGTGTGACTGTGCACTGATCATGGTCGTGCGCTCGCTCAGGCTCGGGTCGGTAGCTCGGAGCTGTGTGTAGGAGATGGAAGGAGTGATCACAACATCCAAAACCGGCTCCCGAGCGTGCTCCTTGGGCCCCATGACCACCACTACCCTCTCATCCAAATCTGCGGCAATGGGGTGAGGTGTGTCAGGATGTGAGCTCAGATACCCCTCAGAGTAGGCCTTCTTCTTCTCTGCGGTCTTGCCGTAGTACTTGGCCTCGCCTGGCTTGGGCTTCCTACGCGTATGGGTGACCTCCCACGCCTCCATGTGTGGGAGCGGCCGCTTCAGTTTTTCTCCTGCACAACCAAACAACCAAACAGAGGTTAGTCATACATAAGAAAGTGATGGTAAATAGAAGAACAAGAATGTTTAATGTACATAGATATACCTCAAGTGTCTTGTGGATAAAGTGGTTCCGGTTTCCCTGAGCATGTACTCCCGCCTTCCCTCGGTTGGCCTTGTTGTTGATGCTCGTAGCCGCCAGGCTCCATCCTTATCACACCACAGATCCACCAATGCCGCCCAGGACTCGTCTTTTCCATAACACCAATTTGGACACACCTACATAATGAAAGCATACTGGCATGTCAACAAGAAATGATGAAATGTACCTCAAACATCGGAAATAATAATTTTTTAATACTTACAGTCAAGTACTCGTGCCTCTCCAAGGTAATTCCCATCCTCCGCGCTTCTTCCATGGTTATCTTCACACCAGGAGCGTCGTGATAGTATGTCGAGATAGCCACCCAGTGCACCTCGTACTGCATCTGACGGGCCTTCTTCTTGGCTTAGCGCAGCACGATCTGGTCGGTAGTGGCCTTGTGCTCCGGAAGAACTTGATAGTAATTCTACAATCATTCATGAAACCAGAATGGAAGAAGCCATGAGTTAAATCATTCATGAAACCAGAATGGACTTGTGATTCTGAAGAGAACTCACCCAAAAATTAGTGATCACGACCTTGGCATGGGTCTCATGGTCCGCGTGGGGGGCCGCTTCCCAGTGGCAAGCAAAAGAATGAAATTATTATAAAGTGGCACTTATTCTTTCCCCGTGGGCTCGATGAACCACTTTTGCTCCTCGATAGCAGGAATCTGCTCTGGCAGCTTTGCGTTACCACGCATCTACCCCTTGTTGCCAACCCCCTCCCCGCCACCACCATCCTCCCCGCCACCACCATCACCCCCCCACCACCATCATCCCCGCCACCACCCTCCTCCTCACCTGCCTCCTCCTCCTCGCCCCCCTCCCGAACCTCCTCCTTGCCTGCCTCCTCGTCCT